AAAAAAAAAAAAAAAAAAAAAAATCTGAACTTCTAAAATTGTAATTTGGCATTATTTGGAGAATATGTTACGTTAGTGGAAAATTTCTCTTCCCCCTAAAGATGTGTGTCTAGTGTGTCCAATGTTTGTTTTGGGCTGAGGGCTGAAACCATGTTCCAAACCCAGCCATGTTTTCCCAAATAGCTTGGTAAATAATTTGAGGGAATTCTGGAATAAGGACAATTTCTGTAGAATGTTTAAAAAGCCAGAAGAACAGGATGAAATCAGCCTGTTTATGAGAGAAGTAAATCACAGGTCTGAAAACTATGATTACTTATTGTTAGCAGAGTTTGTGTAGTGCACGTAACTCCTCCAGGGGCAGGGGTCCGCCTGGCCTCACATCTCCTCCTGAGTGCCTGCTAGACACCGCGTCACACACAGAACTGGGACAGTCTGAGCAGTAGTTCAAATAACTGGTGGCAAGCTTTGGTTTTTGTTTGTTTGGAGACAGGGTCTCGATATGTAGTTCAGGGTTGGCTTTGAACTCACAGTGATCCTCTCTCGTAGTGCTGGGATTACAGGCATGCCCCACCATGCCTGGTGCTATATGCTATGTGCATGTGTGTGTGTTTACATATATATATATATATTCGTTGTTGTTTTCCTTTGAGACAGGGTTTTGCTGTGTAGTTGAGACTGGGTTTAAACTCACTGTGTAGCCCAAGCTGGCCTCCGACCCAAAGCAGTCCTCCTGCTTCAGCCTACAGAGTGCTGGGATTACAGCACCATAATAACAGGTCACATACACACTGATCCAGCTGTTTGGTACAAACTTAGGTCTGGTTGTGCTAGTTTAGGTCTAGGATTTTTGCGCTCTAAATGCCATTTGAGATTACTTGATGTGTTAATCAGCTTTTTATTAGCAAAATATCTGAGATAATCAGTTTTAAAAAGGCAAAGCTTTATTTTGGGTCACAGTTTTGGAGGTTTTTAACCCACAGTCGGTTGGCCCTGTTGCTTTTGGCTCTATGCTAAGATAGCACATCATGGTCGGAAAGCACAGCAGAGGAAGAGCCTACCTCATGGGTGCCAGGAAACAATGAGAGACCCAACAGACTAGGATCTGACAATACCCTTTAAGGGCATGCTCCAGTGACCAGAGTCCTGCTACCAGGCCTTACCTCCTAAAGGCTCCACCACCTCCCATTAGTGCTATTAGCTAAACATCAAGCCTCTCATACATGAATCTTTGGGACACATTTAAGATTTTGAGATGTACGATTCAGAGGTACAGTGGTCTATACCATGTGGGTGCTTAGTATTTGAATTGATGAAATATGAAACATACTAAAATAACTCTGTATTATTAGGAAAGCCTACTGCAGTGTGGCGAACCTATGGTACACATGCTGCAGTTGGCCGTTTCTGATCATTGAAAGCTCTAAAAGGTTCGCCATCTCTGGCCTAGAGTAAAGTTTATGCCTTGTCATTGGGTAGTAGTTTTCTGCTGATTTATGGATCTACATAGTCAAAATCGGAAAGGTTCTTGTTGTGCATGCCTGTAGTCCCAGCACTCAGAAAGCTGAGGCATAAGGCTTGTTGTGAGTTCAGCACCAGCCTAGGTTACATAGTAAGTTTAAGGACAGCCTGAACTACAAAGTGAGACCCTGTCTCAAACCAAAACCAAAACAAAAAAAACAAAAAAAAAACCCCGAGAAAAGAAAAAACTAAACAAAACAAAAAAACACCAAACCTGAGAGTCTTAGCTCTTTATAAGCCTCACCTGCAGTTTGTCCCTTTCCTTGGTGCAGCAGGGGTTCCTTTTTCTTGGGTATCCTTCCAGAAACATGTGCATGTACCTTTACTACCAACTTCAACATTCATTTCTTTTACCACAGGACCTTATGGATTTTCTAAACCCAAATGGAAGTGACTGTACCCTGGTCCTGTTCTACACCCCCTGGTGCCGATTTTCCGCCAGTTTGGCCCCTCATTTTAATTCGCTGCCCCGGGCATTTCCAACTCTTCATTTTTTAGCTCTGGATGCATCTCAGCACAGCAGGTATCTTGGTGGGGTATCTGTGGCTCATCCTTTTGGCTGATGGCTGCAGTGATGTGGAATTCTAACAAGTTAAGTGAGAAGCAGAGGAGGTGAACAGGAGCTTTGAAGAAGTGGGATGGACGGCAGGGAAGGGCAAGAGTGAATAGTGGTCATTGTCAAACTCCTGAGGGAGCTGGTGATGTCACTTTCTGGAAGCCCCTTTATTTTCTACATTCCCCTAAGTGGTATGAGCGTGCCTATAAACTGTGTTCTCAGCTCTTCTAAGATGCTCCTTAGCAGGTCCTGAGAAGCTGTGTGTGAACCAATCTAGAATGCTGGGAAGACAGTCAAGTTGGTAGTAAATCGAAACTGAGTAAACTATTAATTTACACTCCACTGATTTTTTTTTCTGTGTGAGAATATAATAGCCAGTGCTTACCTGAAACTGTTACGAAGAAAGAAACTGCCCAACAAATTAGTAATTCCCATAAAGATCTCATGGAAATATCTAAGCGGCCCATAGGTCAGTGTCCAGCTTTGACTGGGCCCTCCACTACCCCCATGCATAGCTGACCTTGATCTCATGTTCCTTCCCACCCACAGGTTTTCAGCATGGCTTTGTTTTGTGTTTACATCCATGGAGAGCCTGTTATGGTGCCTTATTTATGGAGAGACTAGGATACTTGTTCTTAGTACAGGGGTTGGGACATGTGTTTGTCTAATATGCTAATATCTAAGGTGCAGCATGTTTACAAAAGAAAAACCTCCTGATTATTTTACTGTGGTGAAAAACTGAGGCTTAAGGAGGTTAAATAATCTGCCCAAAGGTCACAGCTGGTTCAGAGGCTGTACTGAGGTTAGAACTTAGACTGGTTTGTATTATATAAAGGTGAAAAAGTCCCCTGCAAGTCAGATTATTTTCATATCTTTCTGCCCTAATTGTGAACTTATTGGTGTATTTGTTAGGTCATATATTCCCTTGCACCAATTTACCGAGCCTAATGTTTATTATATGCTTATTTTTTTTGAGGGATAGGGATGGGAAATCTAAAGAATTTGAAATTCTGTCAAGTAAATTGACACAGTGAGCTTTTTCCATGCATTAGAATTTTCTGGTCTGATCTGTTTTGAAAGTTGAGAATTTAAGGGTCATAGGTAGATCCATCTGCTAACAGAAAGCAACTCAGATTGCAGAACAGTCGTGGCTCCAACCCTGACGCATAAGGAAAGAGGTCAGGAACAAACTAATTCTGAAGTTTAAATATCAGAAACCTTCTTAGGTTATAAGAAATTGTTTGCTTCTTACGTATTTCTATCCATTCTATTATGGTAATCATGTGAGGAAGCCTGCTGTTAATTCAGGTTTTCTAACTGTCTTCTTTTCTCTACAGCCTTTCTACCAGGTTTGGTACTGTAGCTGTTCCAAACATTTTGTTATTTCAAGGAGCTAAACCGATGGCTAGATTTAATCATACAGATCGAACACTGGAAACACTGAAAATCTTCATTTTTAATCAGACAGGTAGGTAGAAATAATATGCTGAAGAAGAAATTTTATTGGTAGGGGTATATGCTTCTTGCAGGTTTTGATCTGCTATAATTCTTACAGGTTGACTTTGAGTTGTAAAATGTTTAACAACCTATAATAATAGTGTTAAATATTGTCCCATCAGTGGCAAGCTTAATATGAGTAGGTAATTTTATTTTATTTTAGGTTTTTTGAGACACGGTCTCACCATCTTTTTTTTTTTTTTTTTTAAGACAAGATCTTGCTGTGTAGTCTAGGCTGATCTTGAACTCATTATGTAGTGCAGGCTGGCCTCACAGTGACCCTTTCGCTGCAGACTCCCAAATGCTGGGATTACAGGCATGTGCTACCATGCCTGGCCAAGTAGGTCATTTTAATGATTGTAGATACCCTTTTGTTTTGTTCTGTGTAATCAGGGATTGAATCCAGCTTGCAAGGCAGGAAATAGCACCACTGAGCTAAATTCCCGGCTCTAAGTTTATTATATACAAATTATACATAAATCATTAGTGATGAACTTTCATAAGGTTGCCTGGCTCTTCTGCAAAGATAATCAGTCTTAACTCATAATACCATACACTAGTGTTATCTATTTTGAGCTCTGTAATAGTGGAAACATACGGTACACATTCTTCTGTGTTTGGCTTGGGCTTGTGAGATGCACCTGCATTGATGGGTATGATTATGTTTTGTTCATTTTTGTTGTGTAGTGTTCCATTTATTAATCTATTTGCAGGTACTGTTTTAATCCCTTAGTGTTTGTCAAATATATGACTTCATGTTTTTCTCTGTTTGTAAAAAGTTTGAGCATTGTAAACTGAAGAAATTGCCTCCACTGGAAAACATCACTCATCAAAAATTATCTCTTCTCTGAGCATCCCATTTCGTCCTGAAGTGTACTCACTGGAAATAAATGAAAATTAGAACATGCCTCCTGTAGATATCAATCTGCATATCATCACTTTTTTGAGGCAGTGAAGAATTCCAAGTTTTAAGCCGGGCTTGGTAGCGCACACTTATAATCCCTTGGGATTATAAGCACTTGGGAAACTGAGGCATGAAGATCACTTCAAGTTCGAGACCAGCCTGGGCTACACAGTGAGTTTCAGAGCAGTCTGAACTACATAGTGAGACCCTGTCTCAAAAAAACAAAAAACAAACAAACAAAAAAAAATTCCAAGTTTTGTCCTGGCTCCCTAGGTGATGTGGGGAGAGGTAGTTATTTTGGTTAGTGCTCTAAGAAAACCAAGAACATAAGTGAAATATAGGAGCCCCAGAATCTTTAGTGATCAATGGTGGTTAGTTCTTTATTAGTTTTGAGTATTCTGAGACAGGGTCTTGCTATATATTTCAGGTTGGCCTCGAACTCTTGGCGATTCTCCTGCCTCGGCCTCTAGAGTGCTGGGATTACAGGCATGCACCACTATACCCCCTCAAAGTGTGTGGCTAGTTCTAACAATTCTTTCAGTAATCTATTTGCAAGCATTTTGAATTTAGTATTATTTAACCTATGAAAACATTCTTTAGATTCCTGAGAATCTGAACCAGATTTGCTGGTTACTTGTTGAACTCTGGTCTCAAGAGAACAAAAGGCAATTCTTACAAGGCATTGACTAGGAAAGCTCTGATGAGTCCACACAAATTCTAGTTTTAGCTTTGTACAGCTGAATGGATTCCTGATCCTTTGATGTGGTAGGAATAAAGGCAAGTTACAAATTACATTGACAAGCAGGTGAAATCCAACCCAAATACACTAGTGGTGCTGTTTATTTTAGGATTGCATGTCATTTTGCATACTATGCATCATATTTCGGAGAAATCTAGGGCAGATGTATTTTCGCTCTGGTTTGAAACAACTGATTTTTTTTCCAGGTATAGAAGCCAAGAAAAATGTGATGGTAACTCAAGCTGATCAAATAGGCCCTCTTCCTAGCACTCTGATAAAAAGTGTGGACTGGCTGCTTGTATTTTCCTTATTCTTTTTAATTAGTTTTATTATGTATGCTACCATTCGAACTGAGAGCATTCGGTGGCTAATTCCAGGACAAGAGCAGGAACATGCAGAATAGTGATGGACTGAAAGAAGTTGTGAAGAGAAGCAATTTCAGTGTCTCATTTCAGAACTAGTGCTGCAATCTCATACATTTTCTCCAGTGAACTACTGGCCTACAACTTCAGTCAAATGAAGAGAATCGTGCATTTGCTGAACTACTGAATAGGTTAAAAAAATTATAAACTGGTGTTTTAACTAGTAATAAGCAGCTGCAAAAATACTAAAATTCACTATTTTTAGTACTTGAACATAACCCAAATTTTAAGAGTAACTCAATTTGAAATATGAACCAACTGAAATTCTGGTAGAATTAGTGAACAGAATGACACTGTGTTTTAGAAGGCACAGGCGGGACTTTCAATTTTAGTAAATGTTGCTGCTGAAGCGAGCATGAAACAGGCCTTTCAGATTAGTTTTAGAATACTCTTGTTTCCTTATATATGTCTGTGAAGGTTGGTTTTGTTTGTTTGGAATTTCTCTTCCAGAGTCACTAAGCAGGAAAGTGTTCTGCTATGGGAAGAATAACAAGAAATGATAAATGTGACCCTAATTTAACTTATAAGTTTTACCAACTAATGGAAAATAAAGTCAAATTCCTTGGTGTTTGTGATCTCTGCTTTCACTAAAGAATTCAAAGTGGTTTCAGTTGTTTGTAGGTAAGGTGGTTGTTAAGAAAATGTTATAACTAAAGCTCATACATATCAGTTCTATGCTAAAGCATAAACTTTTAATCACAGTTATCTAACCAGCATGCATTCATTGAACCTTAAAATGCTCCTAGCATTGGATTGGGTTTAGGGAGATGCAAAACGCAAACACTGTTTCTGGTTTCAAGTTGATTCTAGTTTAGTTTAGGACACATTTAGTAGAGACAATTTGTGATTTATACGTACTTTACATACTTTTTCTTTTTACTTTTTTGTTTGTTGTTTTTTGAGACAGGGTCTTGCTGTACATTCTAGGCTGGCCTTGACCTCGGAGTAATTCTCCTGGCTCAGCACTCTCCCGAGTGCTGGGATTACAGGTGTGTGCCACCACATCAGCTATATGTATTTTTCAAGAGAAAAGCTGTTCCTTAAATTCAGATAAGACAGTTGATTACCTAATAATTACTGCATTTTTGTTTGTTTGTTTGTTTGTGGTTTTGGGATTTAACTCAGGGCCTTCACACTGAGCTACATCCCTGGCCCTTTAAAAAATAAATTTTTTTTTTTTTTTTTTGAGATAGGGTCTCACAGTTAATAAATTGCCCAGGCTGGGCTTGAACTGTCCATCCTTCTGCCTCAGCCTCCCACAGGCATATGCCACTATACCTGGCTGATAAATTTTTACTTATTTTTTTTCCCATTGAGTTTATTGGTACATTTAAGGTAAATAATACAGTTACATTCATCACTGGGATCTTGTACCTTTACATGATGTATCTTGGTTCCTTCCCCCCCACTTCCCCTGCCCTCTCTTCACAAAATTAGACCTCCTTTTTTTTTTTTTTTTTTTTGTACCAGGGATTGAATTTGGGACCTTGCACTTGCAAGGCAGGCGGTGGCACCACTAAGCTAAATTCCTGGCCCAACTTTTTACTTATTATTTCCAGTGTTTGAGATTGCTAAATGCGAGGAGGTACAGAGATTGGTTGTAAGGGAAAGGGAAGTAAAGCGGGAAGGAAGGGGGTCTAAGACCAGCCAAACCATCACAAGCCAAGCATAGTGTCCACTAGAGAGAGTGCACCTAGTACATCTTTCCTGAGGTGTTTAAATTCTGTTCATCTGGGAACTACTGAGGGCAGAGTATTCACAGTTTACACAACTTCCCTGGGCCCTATGACTGGATCTGTCAGTCTCATACAGTGGTGTTACGGTAAATGATGAAAGTACTTACTGAAAATGATTTTGTTGACTCACACCTAGAAGTTCATTTTTCAGTTCTCTTGATTAATTTTTTTTTTGAGATAGCTCTCACTTTAGTTCAGGTTGGCCTGGAACTGGCAGCTCTCCTCCTGCCTATGCTTCTTGAGTGCTGGGGGATTACAGGCCTGTGTGCCACCATGCCCAGCTTCAGTTCTTACTTTTAAAGAGCAAATTTCAGAGTATTTTGCATAATCATACATACCCAATGTAAATATTGGAAATATGACTTAATTCCACCACTAGTCTGTCTGCCTTAGCATAATTCAAAAGAAACCAGTGTCTTACATAAGTACCTTACGATGTCACATCTGATCAGGGCCTTTACAAAGAGTATTACCTTGGGTTTTGCTTTTTGGGTAGTTTAATCTTTTTTTTTTTTTGGTACTGGAAATTGAACTTACGACCTTGCACTTTCCAGGCAGGTGTGGCACAGCTCAGCCACATCCCCGGCCCATTAGATAATTTAATTTTGTTAAGTGGGGAAAAAAGAAAGGTCAAGCCTGCAGTCCATGAGTTTTTGGTTATTGTGACACAAAAGTTGGCTTTATTTTTTTCTAAATCCATATGAGATAAACAGCTAACTGCTAACAAACTGCTAAATTGATCTAAAATGAATTCTCACCAGGTGTGGTGGTGTGTGCCTGTAACACCAGCACTTGGGAGGCTGAGGCAGGAGGATCATAGTGGCTTTGAGGTCAAACCAAAATAAACCAAACACCCCCCTCATCTGTAGACATACTCTCTGCAAAACTGCTTATGTCATTAATTAGTAGCGATGAGATACAAGTCAATATACTAAAAAGCACTGCGCTTTAAACTGAATTTTATGGCTTTGTCACTTAGATCTCGAAAAAAGGCAATATGAATTAAACATTAATAACCACGTGTGGTATATAAGAGTACCTCCCAGTATTTAAGAAACAGTTTGTCCAGATCTGTTCTCACCTGTGTCCGCAGTGCCAGGTCTGTGGGGCTGCTAATGCTGCAGCGCCTTTTAGAGAGCACGCACTATAAGCCAGATTTTCCAGATTTTTTTGGGGGGGTACCGGGGATTGAACTCGGGTCCTTGCGCTTGAAAGGTAGGCCACAGAACCGCTGAGCTAAATCACCAGCCCTTCCAGGTTTTTTAAATCAAGGCAAATACAGCTGAGACTGAGCAGAGCTGAGACGAACCCACGGCTGCCCTACAAGCCCTGGCTTCTAATCCTGTATACTGATGAATAGACTACAAAGGAAGTGACCCCCAAGGGCCAGGATCGTCTCCCCGCGCCCCGCGCGCCCATCTCCCTCCGCCC